TAAAAGCTAATCATCCTCATAGCCAATAACAAGGTGACTCAAAGCACTATATTCGTCCTTTATTTCCTTATATAAAAATACTCAGGTTTACTTGCTCCTTCAAACAAACCCCTTCTCCTTTTACTCAGAGACCATAATACCCTTAATCTTTAGAGGAAATACAGAAGCGGTGATTTTGGCTATCATCATCATCATTTTAGCCTTTTCTCAATTAATTGGGGTCGGTTACATGAATCCCGGTTCTTCATTCTTCTCTATTAAAGGCCATACCATCAATGAGGCCATAAGTCCCCATATCTTTTCAGACTACTTCCAATCATGTCTATTTGGGCCTACCGCTTGCCCTTTTCAGTCCTTCCACTTGAACTAACTCACACCTCTTAACAGGTGTTGTACTTGGTTTTGTTGATTTTGTCTATAAACAAACAAAAAAATCTCCACTTTGATAGCAAAATCACAACATTTTCCATGCTAACCTCCAATTAGATGGATTTCTTGATTTCATCCTTCTTGCCAAATAAACATATTCTCGAATTTTAACAGTTCACCTACATATTTCTCCACTTCAAACCATGTATCAATCAAACTTTGCCTAAGTATTTTTCTCCACCCAATCCACAAACCTTAGCCCCACATACACCTTCTGCTCTAATACTAATTGTAGGGCTCTCAGGAACACATTGCTTGCAGAACTAGGAACCCCTAACCTCAGGATCCCACCCAAGATTATGTACACGATTAGCCAAATGTGAAATAAATTAATACAACTACAATTGAGTGTGAGAAATAAGTAGAAACAAAATAATAATAAAAATTAATAATAATAACCACAACCAATACAAAGATTTACGTGGTTTGCCGCAAAGGTTACGTCTATGCCCTCGACAAGTTAAATTCCACTATCTCAAAGACGATTAGAGGTTTGGGTTACAAGACATCCCTCTCTAAACATCCCAAAAACCCTCGTCATCTTCCCTTCTAAGCCCACTCTGCAACCAAACAACATAACCAAGGTTTAAAAGAATAGCCCACCCAATGCCTAGGCACCCGCTTAGGGGCCCTAGGGCGCATGCCTAGACCTGGGCGCATGCCTAAGCCTGGGCGCATGCCTAGGCCTGGGCGCTTGCCAAGCAGCCCAGGCGGGTGCCCCACGCCTTAAAGTAGCCCCTAAGGGAATTTTATGTAATTTGAACTCAAAAAATAATAATAAAAAAATAATAATAATTAAAAAAAAGAAAGAAAACAAAACAAAACCTCTATAGGCCCTATATTAATTGATTATACACAGTGTAGGAAAAATTGAATGGAAATAGTTATCCGGACATGGGGCCTAAAGTGGTTCAACCGGTCTAACTGGGTAGGTCCCAGGCGGTCAAAAAGGTGTTAAAAAAAATAAAAAAATACAAAAAAATAAAATATGAAGAGCATATTTAACGCATGATTAAACAAAACACATCCAAATGAAGTTGTAAATTAATGAAAAATGGATTTTAAAGAATTTATTTGTGTCCAGGGGTATTTTTTAAAATTTTTGAAAAACATGGGAAAATATAAAGATAAGTATATATGGCCAAAACAATTTCCAATCTTTGCCAAAATGATAAAAAAAACATTAAAAAATACATTACATATAAAATCCCTTAATTTTTAGGATTTTATATAATTTTTTTAATTTTTTTTAAATACCAGGCCAGTTCACCAAAACCGGCTGAAACAGGAACCGGCTAGTGACGATTTCGATTTAACCGAGCAGTTAGAATTTGAACTGCTCGATTTTTCCTACACTGATTATACTTCTGCAAATAAAAATAAAAAAAATCTGAGATTTAAAGAAGCATCCAAAATTTTATCATTTCTTATCGGAATTTCCGAGGTTTTCAATTAGTCAAGAGTTCATGTGATAATGGACTATGGAGAGTTGGAAACTAATACACTAATACACTATAGATTGTTTTAAGTTTTTCACTAAAATTTCTATGATTTAAAGTTTATGAACATGTTTATCTTAATTTGCAATATGTTTGTATAAAAAAATTAATTAAAATACATATAAATGCAAACAATTGTAAAATTAACAAAAATATGTGCATTTGTACAACATATATAGAGCCTGAGGTTCTAGGCACCAGGCCGGCCGCCTAGCATATTTTGAAACCTTGAACATAACCAATCAATCTCCCTCTTTTTCACTACAACACTGTTATGAAAAAAAGAACCTTGAGAGCAAACGTGAGATTTTCTCTAGAAGTGGAAAATAGATAATCCCAAAAAACATGGGAATAGCATGTAACTTGGAAGCCATGCTTCTCTAATCTATAAGTCCTTTCTCTCTCTTGGAGGCCCCTCTCTCTCTCTAAAAGCTAACATTCTCAAAACCATATTAGGATGAAGGAAGAGTACTATATGTTTCCTTGACCTCTTTATATAAGATCAATAGGGTTTCTGGCATGCTCCCTAGGAAACTCGTTTTCCTTTCACCCAAAGACCATAATACCCTCAATCTCTTGAGCAAACATAGGAGTGGCAATTTTAACTATCACCAAAACCAACAACCTCAAGAAGCCTCCCCTAAAACAAGGTGTCAAAAAATGCCTCACCTTTAGAATACAAGTGGCTCTGAAACCTCCACTCAATGCAAATTTAATGCTCTATTAATTTTTTCATCTAAAATCAAACTTTTTTCCCATAAACTACCCTAATTTTTGTCCGTAGTTCCCCCCAAATCCCCACCTCTATACCTCCCCACCCCCCCGGCCACAAAAACAAAGAAAAATAAAGGTTCCAGCATATTTCATGCAAAATACAATATATTTGGTACGATGCCATCAAGTGCTGTGATTGGAGTCTCAAAGATTCTTGAACTCAAAGTTTGGTGGATCTAGTCCTGATGTGCTTCATCTATAAACAATTGTGGGCATACATTGTAGTTGTTCTAAAGATTGTCACATTTTACTAGTTCATGTGTGATGAAAAATGACTTTCTATTTGTGCTCCTTTTTAACTCAACAAAGCTTTTGGAAGATAAAGATTGGAAGCCCCAGATTGCTTTATCCTACCCTAAAGTCATGTAATGCATATACTTGACAAATGAGGAAAGGAATTCACAAACAAAAGGGATAAATCACTATAGTAAACCATGTGAATCAAAGGCCCATGTCAAATAACCAAATGAATCAAAGCTCTGTCTTGGTTGTAATGTCTTGAAAAAGAAAAATTCACATCAGATGCCCCAAGAGGCACTGGAATAGATTCATTGACCTGAACTTATATTGGCATTCTCCGTCTTGCTCTAGTTTCAATGACCCAATTGCAGAATTAAGCCATTTCATTCTGCAGGATTAAGAACTGCCATCAGGATGTCAAGGCATTAAGACGTAAAAGTTCCGATTGAGGGTTATCCTTTAAAAAATAAAAATAAAAACCAAATTATGTATTTGGTGGTTAGAGAGAGAGGTAGGTGGAAGGTTATCCTTTAGAAAAAACTCATATATCGTATTTGATGGGGAGAGAGAGAGAGAGGGTAGTTAATGAGAAAAACAAAATTTTATTTGAAAAAGTCAATAGGGTGTTGAATGTAGGATAAGTGGGGCGTTTGGTAGGTACTCTAGAGTTAATGTGTTTTTTGACACCATTGTTTGTTAGGAATTGTACGAGGTGAAATTCTCTTTTTAATATTCTACTCGCAATGTCTTACAATATTTAGTATGATTAAATAATCATAACAATTTCCTTTTATTTTTTCTTTTTGAGTGAATTTTTTGGGATAGATCAATGGGGAAGGGTTCCCCTACACCGTAGTAGGGACCCCTACCCGTAGCATGTGACTCCAAAATTGGCATCTAGAAGAAACAAGTTCTATTTATTCTTCAAATTTCAAAATGACATATTTCTATATTTATTTCACCCTTTTTGTTTCATTTCATACTCTTCATGTGTATTTTTTTTTCTCAATGTTTTGATGATCACTAGTTACCTTTGTTCAGCTTCCTTGCTGGGTACTGACGAAGAGCATGCAAAACAGAGTCAGCCGATTGTTTGATTTTTGAGTCATCTGTAATACTCTTATTGGTGCTTCTTGGACTTCCTTTGGAGATCGAAGACTGTATGCGTCTAAATAGGGCAATAATTTCCTCTTGACTTGAAGAGTCCGAGAGATCTCCATCAGATGACTGCTCTTTATCCTTACCGACTTCATCATTCCCAGTATTTCTTCGAGATGGTTGGCCTTTTCTGTTCTCAGATTTTAAGCTCGATATGATGAACTGATTCAGGTCCTTTCGTGAAGCAAATAGTAGAGGCCTATCTGCAAACTCTGCGAATTTCAATAAGCTGCATCAAAAGCCATCCCTCAGTTGCTAATTAATAGCCCAATCCACGATATATTTATGTCAACGTCATGCAACACATTTTCTCGAAAAACATCATGCAATACAGTCAAATGAGAGGATAATGAAAAGAAAATTGCCTCAATTATTTTAATAAATAAAAAGGGATTAATGATGCTAAATTCAAACAGCATGACAGTCAATCTTCTCATAGCAAAACACGAGTTTAAGAGTATACTGGTGTGCAGCTCAATAAATGCTCATGTCCAACACCGAAAAATAAACAACATACATGTACTGTAGGAATTTCTTATGCTGCGCAAAACTACTGTAATAATTTCCGTCTCTGAGATGGCCAACCTCATAGGACCAACTTCCCTAGCAAATTAGGTGCAAAATATAGAATGGAAAATAAAAATTACATCCATCCTAAAATATTAGGAAACCCCCACCTTTCTTCATTACAATTAAAAGCATGCCCTTTTTCACAAATACAATCCTTTGTCATTCATCAGGTTCTCCTTACGAAAACAATAATATATCATCAATGAGACAAAGAAAAGACAAAAAAAGTTGAGACAAATGGAACATCAGGTTCCATGCACCAGTCATTAGGATGTATGAACTATAATAATAATATTAGGTTTCTTGTGAACCAAAACCAGAGTATGCTGATAAAGAAAGAGGAAAGGAATAGTTTTGAGAGAGTTAGAAGACCCTTTTTATCTTTATTAGGACATGTATGCCCTATTTCCAGTTTGTATGGGCAGTACTTCCATTTCTCATATTTCACTAATAAAAGAAGATATGAGAAGTGCATGAGGTCTATTGCACTCTAACTTCACTCTCTATTCAACTCTCTCTCTCTCTCTCTCTCTCATCTCTTTGACATGATATCATACCATTGATCATTTCTTCTATCTTGCTCTTCTCCTCTACCCTTTCTTTTTTTTTTTTTCTTTTATTACTGCCTGTGTTATTTTTACCGAAACCTTAGGATTGAGTTTTTTTTCGTTTGGGGGGAAAAGGGGGGGTGGTGGGGGGTCATAGCAAAATAAAACTAGGATTACTTCCTAGGACTCTTAGAACTAAACCTTAGGGTTGTTTCCTAGGGTGTGCAGAAACCCATGTGGGTCTGCGTTTGGTGTGGTGATGCTGGTATTTGTCTCATTCCTCTTTAAAGATCGAGATCAATAGATGAACCATTCTGTATTTTTGGGCAACTGTGGATGATCCACCAAGGTTTTCTCTAAAAAACCCTAAATTTTTCATGCATATAGACGCTACCCTAGTCTTCTCAAAGAGTCATAGTGTGGTGCTCAGATTTGGATAATGTGGTGTTGCCCTAGTTTGTTCAAGTGTAAAAACGTAATTATGTTCAGATCTGAATGATAAGTGTCTCTCTCTTAAGAAAAAAAAATGCACCCCAGCATTGCACTAAGCTTGGTGTAAGTGGCTGTATTTTGTTGACCCTAGTTGCCTCCTTTATCTTTTATCTCATATACTCATGACTAAAGAAATTAAACTTGGAACCTTTAGTCTTCCTGAACATGTGGGTATACAAATTACTTCAGTAAAATTAAATGCGTCCAATCATGTTATATGGGCTCAATCTGTTAAAGCAGGGTTTGAAAACTCGCCGAGTCGAGCCGGACTCGCCCGGTTCGACTAGAGAATCGTCAGCTACCGAGCCGGTTTCACGAAAAACAGGGAATCGCTCGTGTTCAGAGAGATCCGGGCGATTCCCAATAGTGAATCGCCGAGTCTCGCCCAAGAACACGGGCTGCACAGTGTTCTTCACGGATTTCATCTTTTTTTGTCATTTTGTTATCATTTTTCATCTTTTTCAGCCTTATAATCGAATCATGCAGGCGTTAATTCAAATTTTTCAGCCATTTCACTTAATAAAAGGTAGTAAAAATCACCGATTGTGATAAAAAAAATTTGGATCGAAGAGAGTGTTTTAGGGTTTCCGCCATTTCACTGATTTCATGCGAAAGAGGGCATCATTTTTGTAAAATTTCAGGGTGATTGATCGTAAGAGTATTGTTCAAAAGTTTTTGTTTATAATTTGTGATTATTTAGAGGAATACAAATCAATTTTGAATTTGAAGGCACGGGTCCACGAAAAACAAGTAAGAACTGTGTCTTTTTTTTTTTTTCCGCCATGCTATCAATTCAGTCAATATTTTGCAAGTCATGTGTTAAATTTATAGGGTTTTGATTTGTTATCGTGTTGTTTATCATCACATGTATTCAATTTGATTATATTTATTCAATTTGAGTTGGATTTTTGAGAAAAAAGTTTGATGTCTGTGAAAAAAAAATGGACTGAGTTTTTTTTTTGTTCTGCCAATCTCTCAATTTCAATTAAATATTTTGCAAATAAT